ATGAGAAAGAGCTCTTTCTTGGGAGATTATTTTGAGGTTTTCTTTGCATAATAATAGATTTTGTATTATTATTAAATCAAAATTTAAGTCTTGAAGGAGTGAGTGAGGTTGAGAAATACTTCAAATGTAACTTTCTATTTGCAATTTGGCATGGCAAATAGGCATCCATCTAAAGAAAAAATGAAAAAGGAACGGCAAATGGACAGGTCGAGCTTGGTTTAGTTCAGTTTGATAAGGTTTGAGTCACAAACGAATCACGTGCAAAATAGCAATCCTCAACCTTAACCCGAGATTAGCAGGATGTGGGTCAACAATAAAGTCGATTTTTTTTGTTTTATTTATTAAAATTAAATGATATATAACCTCCAAGCTACTTAACTACAATTTACAATCAATTAAGGTTAAGTTTGAATCTTGAGATTTGAGAGAAGAAGTTTAGAAAGTAAAAGGTTATTTCTTATTGTATAGTGCATCATTAAATATACTTAAAAATGAACATTCAAATTTTCATGACTAAGGCAAGGTCATTACATTACTGTAAGTTGAGTAAACATACCAAACTTAAAATATACAAATTTTACAAAACATAAATTTTAAAACTGAAGTCTTCATCTTGAAAGCAAATACTCTCTTAGTGAAGTTTTGGTTGAAATGAGATATAAATTTTGGTTAAACCCCTATTTTGGTCTCTGAACTATTGTACGGACCCCTGATTTGGTCCTTGAACTAAAGAAATCTCTAATTTAGTCCTTGAACTATTGTACGAACCCCTAAGTTGGTCCCTAAACTATTGTACGGACTCCCAAGTTAATCCCTAAACTATTGTACGGATGCCCAATTTGGTCCTTATTGTTTACCAATTTAACCCAAACTTGATCCTTCTGTTAAATAATAGCTCAGGGACCAAATTGGGGCAAAATTGTAAATAGTAAGGACCAAATTAGGGGTCCGTACAATAGTTCAATGACCAACTTAGGCTAAATTATAAACAATGGGGACCAAATCAGGGGTCCGTACAATAGTTTAAGGACCAAATTAAGGATTTCTTTAGTTTAGGGACCAAATCGGGGATCCGTACAATAGTTTAAGGACCAAATCGGGGATCCGTACAATAGTTCAGGGATCAAAATGAGGATTTAAGCATAAATTTTTTAAGCTTCAAAAACTAGTAACAATGGAAGGAGAGAAAGATGGAGGAGGGGAGGTTTTAATCCCAACATATATAAATAAGAATTGTATATATCAATTCTAATTTTTATAAAATAATTAAAATTTTAACTTTAAAAATACAATCCTTCAATAAATATTTTTAAAAACTAATAAATAGATTTAATATTATATTAATATAAATCATGCATATTAATTTTCAAATTGATCTAACATTTATAATTATTTGATTAAGAAATTTGTATGTTTAACAAAGATTTAATGGTGTTAAATTCTGTATAACCAATAAATTAATTAAAAATCATTATATGTGATAAATGGAAAAAGAATCATTATCAACAGGAAATTGTGTTTATAGAATGTGATAAATTTGGCCTTGATAAGTGAAAGTTCCTCTTTGCATCAGGTTGAGTACCCCTTAACTCCTTCGCAATAAAATTATATGTTGGCCGACTACAAAAAAAAGGGAATCTGATTAGAATACCCTTTTATTTAATACATTACATAATGCACTCATTAAAAATTATTATTTTTTGGTTTAAAATTAAATGCAAATAAATTTAAATATGCAATTATGCATATAAGTGGTAAAAACTAACTGAATCAGTTCTATTGATAGTATATTTTAATAATTAAACTAAATAAATGTTGGAAGATGTGTCAAATTAAAAAGTATATTAATCTTCTTCTTTTTTTAAAAAAAAAAGAGACAATATACAATTTATTTTCTACGCACAATGCAAATATCATGACTTAAATACAATACGAAACTCAAGAAAAACTTTGAAAAAACTTGCAATTAGCTATAATCAAACCTACAATCTCAAAGTTGT